TGCCTTGTTCTGGTGACAGTCGGCCCGGCTCGCGGGAGGCGCCCCCCGCCATCTATGCGCCCGGGGCGAACGCACCCCCCGGTTGTTACGCCACTGCACTATTGCTATGTATGGACATTGGAGTCACTGATTGTTTTTTTTGTACTGCTCAGTGTTGTAGCTCGGCACATTTAGTTATTCAGAACCCATAATTATGATTATTCTGCTAACTAAATTTTCATTTTTAACAGCTTGGCTTGTGGAATTATTGCCCGATCTGCAGGTCTTTTTGAGAATGCAAAGCAAATTTGTTCATGTGATGGAGTGACTATCTGGGAAGAAAGAGACCATCCAGCTGCTGGACCAGGCCGAAAAAAACAGGACACATACGCTCACCTGTGAAAAACATATGCCTTAAAATGATAGCTTGCATTATATCATTCACAATCACTTTACATCTACAAATTGATGGTTGATGGGCACAATTAATATGTACAATTTTTCCACCACTTTGTCTTTTGAGGGATCTGTGTGATGCCATTGCCTGCAATATGCTAGAAAATGCTGCAAATCTAAGAGTTCCTATGATTACATTATGTCAGCGTGACTAGTACCAGGCTGATATGATGTCAGCAACACTTTGCATTTTATAAAGTATATGTTAGCTGCATTGTTAACTTTGTAAAATGAAGGCCAAGCAATAGTACATACAGGGTCACTAGTGTGGTGCAGAATCCAAGTGAATACCTGATGTTAATTCTGTACACACCAAGGACCCAGTACAATAGAATATATGAATAATTTATATAGTCAGCATTTCTACAATAATGTGCTGATTCATACACAGATAAAATTGAACATTGCAAGTACTTCCTCAGTTCTGTAAACAAACTCTTTGGACAGTAATGGCAACAAAGCTCAGCACCATTAAAGAGTTTAAAAGTAAGTGTACTTATCATTTTGGTCCCTTTAAGCTGACCTTACAGATTGTAACGCTCCTAGTTTTGTTATTAGGATCTCAACGGCAGAGGTGTGTAACATTAACAGGTATACACGAGACCAGGAATGAGGTTGAGGCTAATAACGGTTATTCAGTTTGAATTCCAGGCGTCTCTCTCAGACTTTTACGGAGAGTCAGGAATTGCTAACATCATACACCATGTAAATACTTTAAGCGTACACTCAGTAGTTGGTAGGGTATAACTTTTGGGTAGCAGACTTTGGTGGAGGATATACGTGCGTTCAGGTGAGTATGTGTATACTTGGCGTGTACCCCCTTATTAGTATATCAGGTTAAGCAGTATACGAGGTTGGCAACCAATAAGGCGCAAGGAGGTTAATTCAGGCAACAAATGCTATGTCATCTCAAGCAGAAGTACACCGAGTGGAGTAATGGATGAGGACAGGCATGAATAACATGGCAAGTATTCTATCAGCAGTAAATAGCATAAGTAGTGACTGATCGTATAAAGAATCACATTCAAGTTCCCATATGTCAGTTGCTGAGTTAATACAGTCAGTATTAGGCAGTCCTTGCTGACTGAGGGTACTTGTGGTTTTAGAGGTCTGAGTTTGAGTATGTCCGTGGTGGTAGAGCCGGCTCCTGTGGAGGGGATCCTGTCCAAATAATCAGCCTGTGATTCCTCCGGTATTGTGGCGTCTGGGTGATATGGAGCTAGCAGGGCGCACACTCCATTAGTGGAACACCGTGCTTAGCTCCTTCCGGGTATATAACGGCTCTGGACTTGGATGGGGCGGAGTCAAGTGACGCTCGTGCGGCCGTTGCGTTCCACTCTGGAGCGCAAGCCGCGATCGTCGTCATAGTCGCATAGGCGATGCGCTCCAGGTTGGAACGCAAGACGCCGATACATTACACCGATCCCACCAGCCCCCTATACAGTTGCATACTTACTGAGTTCCAATGGGCCTGGTCTCCATTGTTTGTTTACATCCTTTGGCAAAAGGCTCCCTTTCCTGGTCGCGCTTGTGCAGTACATCCCAATTGATTTTTATGGTGCTCGTTAGACATGTGCGATTCGTTTCATTCCAAATCGAAATTCGGACGAATTTTCGCAAATTCGGACATTCGGATGTATCCGAATTCCGAATTACAGACATAACGAATGCAAACGAATCCGAATTTCCATTTCCGAAATTCGGTAGCGGTAGGTCGAACGTTCGTTTCGTTTTCGTTTCTTATTCGTTTCGTTCGTTGGAGAAAAGTGACATTAGAGAAGGAGAAAAATATTTTTTCCCCCTCAAATGTCACGAACGAAACGAAACGAATAAGAACCGAAAACGAAACGAACGTTCGAACTACCGCTACCGAATTTCGTCCGAATCCGAATTCCGAATCCGAATTGACTTTCTCACCCGAATCCCGAAAAACGAAATAACACAAATCCGAATTTAAAACGAAACAAATTTTTTGGCAGTGCACATGTCTAGTGCTCGTCTACCTTCATCTCCTGGCAGGGAGACAGCCTCATCAAGGTCAATGGGAATGTACTGCTCAAGCGCGGCCAGGAAAGGGAGCCTTTTGACCTAGGATGTATACAAACAGAGGGTGGGCTTGTTGGAACTCGGCAAGTATGCATCTGTACAGGGCGAGGATGTGATCGGTCAGGTCGGCTTAAAGGGGCCAAACCTAGTACATCTATCCTTTTAAGGGCCATATTACATAGTTACATAGTTACATAGTATTTGAGGTTGAATAAAGACATTAGTCCATCAAGTCCAACCTATTAGGATCTCATTCTAGGAGTACCCGTACCCCTGTATATTACGGTCCCTTAAGAAATCGTCCAAAAGTTTCTTGAACAATTCCACATTATTTGCTGAAATCACCGCCTGTGGCAGTGAGTTCCAGACCCTAACTGATCTTACTGTGAAGAACCCCCTTCGCACCTTGTGCTGGAATTTTTTTTCCACCAATTTTAGGTTATGGCCTCTAGTTTTTGTAACGGAGTTAATTTTAAACAGTTTATCGCTAATGTTGCTACCACCATTAAACATTTTGTACATGGAAATCATATCCCCCCTTAATCTCCTCACCTCTAATGTGAACATGTTTAAATTTAGTAGCCTCGTCTCGTAGCTCTGGTCCTCCATACCCCTAATTAGTTTGGTTGCCCTTCGCTGGACTTTTTCCAACTCAAGGACATCTTTTCTTAGTACTGGTGACCAGAACTGGACCGCGTACTCCAGATGAGGTCGAACCAATGATCTATAAAGTGGCAAAATTATAGACTTGTCCCTGCAATACATCCCCTTTTTAATACAGGACAAGACCCTGCTAGCTTTGTTTACAGCAGCCTGGCACTGCAAACTACCTTTCAGTTTGTGGTCTACAATGACCCCCAAATCCTTCTCCATTTCTGACTTCCCCAGCGGCATACCCATAATTGTATAACCCATTTGTTTATTTTTAATTCCAAAGTGCATTACTTTGCATTTATCGACATTAAACCTCATCTGCCACATTAATGCCCACTCCCCTATTTTATCCAGGTCCTCCTGTAATGTTATAATGTCTAAGTCCGTGTCTATTACCCTCCCTATTTTGGTGTCATCCGCAAACACGGAAATATCGCTGTTAACACCCTCCCCGATGTCATTAATAAATAAGTTGAACAATATGGGACCCAGCACAGAACCCTGAGGCACACCGCTCATTACACTAGCCCAGTCTGAAAAGGTGCCATTTACAGATACCCTCTGGACACGTTCCCGTAGCCAGTTCTCTATCCACGTACACACCACCTCATCTATGCCCATAGCCCTCAGCTTGTGTAGCAAGCGTTTGTGTGGTACCGTATCAAAAGCCTTTGAGAAATCCAGATATACCACATCCACCGGCTTACCTCCGTCCATATCTCTACTTACCCCCTCATAAAAAGTTAGCAAGTTAGTTAGGCAGGAACGGTCTTTCCTGAACCCGTGCTGATTGTCATTAACTATCCCGTTTTCCTGAACAAATTCTACCAGATAATCCTTTATTATGCCCTCTAGCATTTTACAAACTACCGATGTTAGACTGACCGGCCTATAGTTCCCAGGTTGGCACCTTGCCCCCTTTTTGAATATTGGGACTACCGTAGCCCTCCGCCAATCACTGGGGATCCTACCAGTCATTAAGGAGTCCTTAAAAATGAGGATTAATGGTCTAGTTATAACCTGGCTTAATTCCTTAAGTACCTTGGGGTGCAGGTTATCCGGACCCACTGCTTTGTTTGCATTGAGCATTTTAAGTCTTTGTTGTATCCCGGTTTCTGTCAACCACTGGGGTATATTTTGAGTTAAACTGGGAGTTTTATCATGTGTATCAAACCCGTTTCCCTCCCGAGTGTATACTGAGGAGAAAAAAGCGTTCAGCGCCTCGGCCCTCTCCTTGTCGTTTGTGACTAGCTTCCCGCTTCCATCCTTTATTGGGCCTATCTGCTCCTTTCTCACCTTTTTACTGTTAATATATTGGTAAAATGTTTTGGGGTTCTTTTTACTATCTGCGGCGATATGCTTTTCGCACTCAGTTTTAGCTGCCCGGATGAGCTCCTTCAGTATTTTTGTTGCTAGGAAAAGGATCAACTGCAGTACAAAATGTCTGTTTGGCAGCAGTTCTAACAAGTTTAGTCATTCTAGTGACGTTTTGCAGTATTTTAAGCTAGATTCAATATCCCAACTTTAGTAGCTAATAATGTCATCTAATACAGCTGTTTGAAACCATGGCACACCATGGTTTCAACCACACAGATGAGCACTGTAGCCAGCTGTAGCAGAAACTCTCTAGCTTGCTCCAAATGGCCAAAGAAAGCAAGCAGAGAGATTTGTAGCTGCTATAAATCTCTGCTACAAAGTTGCAAGTGTGACCAGGCTCTAATTCTACAAGCTGGTCACTTAACACATACACATGCATGAATAAAATTCAGCCTTTTTATGTATGAAAATGTATCTAGGTTTTACTCCTAAGGATCTATTTCTAAAGGATTTGTTGTGTGAATCACACAGGGAATGTTTGCTGGACATTGGTCTATCTGTATTTTACAGCATTTGGCTATTATTTTTCAAGAGGAGTCACTATATGTGTAATGCGGCAACTAATTGGTGAATCTTGTTTGATTGTCAATGTGACGGGCACATCTTGTTTATTGATAGCTCACTATTATGTTTTATGCTGATAGGCAAATCTTGTTTGAGTTTAAAGCTGAGCTCCAGCCTTACCTTCAGTGTCGGACAGTTGTACAGGCTTCTCTCCTGTGCTGAAATTGCTTACTTTGATTTCACTGCACACTGTGAGCTTCTCACCGTGTGCATTAGTAGCTGCATGAAATTAGACAGAGCCCATCTCATTTCATGGCTGGAGTATGTCTAGCATCATTTAGCTTTCTTTCCCAGGCCTGACTGTTCCTGGCCCGCTCCTTTCATTAATTGGATTTTAGTTGTTTCATGGAGGCTCAACATCACATGTGGGCATTACCTAGGGCACTTTGTATACAAATGCAAACTGTCTAGGAATGCCCACACTTTCAGACCTGATAGCCATCTATCAAGGTATTTTAATATTTACCAGCCCACTGTTTGCTTTGGGGTTGAGGGCTTTTGAGAAGAGTACTGAAACAGGGTGCTGTGATGTTCTCAGGAAGCTATGTACACCCTTTCAGCCCCTCCCACCAGCCATGATCTGACTGGATTGCATAGAGAAGGTTAGAAACCCAGTGATGACATCTCTGGGTCAAAAATAGGGTATGTCATTAAAACAGATGTTCTGTTATATGCTGAATCTTGTTTCATCTCTGTGTTTTGCTTTATGCTGTTGGGTGAATCCTCTTTACAAATGATAGGCGCATAGGGTGAATCCTCCCTGAATAGCTGAATGCTGTAAAATACAGATGGATGAATGTGCAACAATTTATAAACATACTTTATAAATAGATCCCCAGTATTCTTAATATAATTGCTGTTAATTTATTTTTCCTCAGGATGTTTGCACAAGTGCCTAAGTAATTTATGCAGTTCTTATTTACCAACGAATAGCCAATGTTATCAATGGCAGACAATGCACTAGAACGGTGGTGTTTATCCATTGCTACATTATCTATTAACATAAATAGGTTAAACTTTGTTTTAGCATTGTTTATTAAACAAAGTATGTATATTATCATTTATATTATATGTACAATATGACACAATCAAAATGTCATGTTGCATAGTTTGCAAAAAAATAAAATCAGACCATTGTAATATATCAAGACTTGATTGTTTCTTCCTTTGTACATCAGTGGTGCAAACTCCCAGCCTTTTTAAAGAAACAACAAGATAATAAATTGGAGTTCTGACTTTCTCTGGCTTT